AGGAAGGAAACGGTTAAGGAAAGGAGGAAAATTAGGACAGGATAAAGAAGGAGAGGAGATAAAAGGAAACCCAGTAAAAAAAAGCAAGTAAAAAAAGCAAGATGAATAAAACAAAAAAAAAAACAGAAAAAAGAACTGAGAGAAAGGAGGGGGAAAGGATGTAAGAAAACAAGGACAGGTCAGGCTAGAGGAGGAGTTAAGGATGGGTAAAGGAATGAAAGGGTAAAGAATGAGAGGACAACAAGGACACAACAAGGAAGGATAGTAAAGGAAGGACAGAGTAAAGAAAGGTAAGTTTTAGGATGGGAGAACAAGGACAGGTATAGGTAGAATAGGAGAACAAGGACATGAAATGGAGAAAATGACAAGAAGCAGTTGAGCAAAGCGAGGCCAGGGAAGGTTAAGGATGGAAGGAAACAAGGACAGGTCAATCTAGAAAAGGAGTTAAGGACGGGTGAATGAAGGGAAGGGTTAAGGATGGTAGGACAACAAGGATAGGACAAGGAAGGATAGTAGAGGAAGGACAGGGTAAAGAAAGGTGAGTTTAAGGATGAAAAAAGAACAAGGACAGGTAAAGGTAGGAAAGGAGAAGCAGGGTAAAGGAATGATAGGGTAAATGCTAGATAGTAGAGGAAGGACAGGGTAAAGGTTAAGGGTAAAGGATGGAAGAAAACAAGGACAGGTCAAGCTAGAAGGGGAGTTAAGGACGGGTAAATGAAGGGAAGGGTTAAGGATGGTAGGACAACAAGGGTAGGACAAGGGATGATAGTAGAGAGAGGACAGGGTAAAGATAGGTAAAGTTTAAGGATGGGAAAGAACTAGGAAGGTTAAGGAAGGTGAGGAGAGCTAATACAGGTAAAGAATGGAGATGAGAGGAGATTAAGGACACTATAAGGGATGTGAGAATGACAGGGTAAAGGATGGGGTAGGATTACAAAAGGTCAAAAAAGAATATAAAAGGAAGGAAACGGTTAAGGAAAGGAGGAAAAATTAAAACAGGATAAAGAAGGAGAGGAGATAAAAGGAAACCCAGTAAAAAAGGCAAGTAAAAAAAAGCAAGATCAATAAAACAAAAAAAAACAGAAAAAAGAACTGAGAGAAAGGAGGGGGAAAGGAAACAAGGACAGGTCAAGTTAGAAGAGGAGTTTAGGACGGGTAAATGAAGGGAAGGGTTAAGGATGGTAGGACAACAAGGATAGGACAAGGAATGATAGTTGAGGAAGGACAGGGTAAAGAAAGGTTAGTTTAAGGATGGGAAAAGAACAAGGACAGGTAAAGGTAGGAAAGGAGAAGCAGGGTAAAGGAATGATAGGGTAAAGGCTGGATAGTAGAGGAAGGACAGGGTAAAGATCAAGGGTAAAGGATGGAAGGAAACAGGGACAGGTCAAGCTAGAAGAGGAGTTAAGAACGGGTAAATGAAGGGAAGGGTTAAGGATGGTATGACAACAAGAGTAGGACAAGGGAGGATATTAGAGAAAGGACAGGGTAAAGATAGGTAATGTTTAAGGATGGAAAAGAACTAGGAACTAGGAGATGAGAGGAGATTAAGGAAACTATAAGGGATGTGAGAATGACAGGTTTAAGGATGGGGTAGGACTACGAAAGGTCAAAAAAGAATATAAAAGGAAGGTAACGGTTAAGGAAAGGAGGAAAATTAAAACAGGATGAAGAAAGAGAGGAGATAAAAGGAAACCCAGTAAAAAAAAGCAAGTAAAAAAAGCAAGATGAATAAAACAAACAAAAAACTGAAAAAAGAACTGAGAGAAAGGAGGGGGAAAGGATGTAAGTTAACAAGGACAGGTCAGGCTGAAGGAGGAGTTAAGGATGGGTAAAGGAATGAAAGGGTAAAGAATGAGAGGACAACAAGGACACAACAAGGAAGGATAGTAGAGGAAGGACAGAGGAAAGAAAGGTATGTTTAAGGATGGGAGAAGAACAAGAACAGGTTATGGTAGGATAGAACAAGGACATGAAGAGGAGAAAATAGCAAGAACCAGTTTAGCAAGGCGAGGCCAAGGAAGGCGATCAGAGAAAGAGCAGGTAAAGGAAGAAGAGAATAATTTAAAGGATTTGAGAAAAAGAAGAATAAAATAATGGTAGGAGGGGTCAGAAAGGACTGCTTAAATTGTAGAAGGAGAGCAATTACAAGTGATGGAATTATAGAAGGGGAAAAAACAGGGCAAGGGAAGGAAAGGAAGAAAAGGAAAGGGGTAAGGTTGAAAGAAAAGCTAGGACAGGTGAACAAAAGCCGGGAGAGGAAGGAAAGGTAAAGAAAAGGGAGGGTCAAGAATGGGAGGAGAGCAAGGACATGTCTAGGAATGAGATGAGAAGAAGGATACTATAAAAGATGTGTGAAGGACAGGGTAATGGATCAAAAGGACATGGAATGGTCAAAAGAAACAATAGTAGAGGAAGGACAGGATAATGAAAGGAAAAGGTAAACGATAGGAGGTAAATAAGGACAAGTAATGGAAGGAGAGAAGAGCAAGGACAGGTCTAGGAATGAGTTAAAAAGGACGGGTATAAGTAGGAGTGAAGATGAAAGACAGGATAAAGGATGTAATGAGGACAGGGTAAAAGATAGGAGGACAACAAAAAGAGGTCAAGGAAAAATATAAGGACGGGGTAAAAGAAGGAAAGGGTAAAGAATGAGAGAAAACAAGGACAGGTGAAGGAAGGATAGGAGAAAAAGGGTAAAGGGATGATAATTGAGGAAGGACGGGGTAAAGAAATGAAAGGATAAATAATAGAAGGAGAACAAGGACAGGTCAATATAGAAGAGAATTATGAAGGACGGGTAAAGGAAGGTAAGGCCAAGGAAGGCGATCAGAGATAGAGCAGGTAAAGAAAGGAGAGAATATAATAAATGATTTGAGAAAAAGAAGAATAGAATAATGGTAGGGGTGGACAGAAAGGACTGATTAAATCGTAGAAGGAGAGCAAGGACAAGTGAGGGAATTATAGACGGGGGAAAAAACACGGCAAAGGAAGGAAAGGAAGAGAAGAAAAGGGTTAAGGATGAAAGAAATCAAGGACAGGTGGAGGAAAGCCAGGAGAGGATGGAAGGGTAAAGAAAAGTAAGGGTCAAGAATGGGAGGAGAGCAACGGTAGGTCTAGGAATGAGAAGGATAATATAAAGGATGTGTGAAGGACACGGTAAAGGATGGGGAAGGACAAGAAAGAATAGTAGACGAAGGTCAGGGTAAAGGAAGGAAAGGGAGCCGAAAAGAAAAAGGGGAGGAAGGGGATAGGAGGAGAACTAGGACAAGATAAGGAAGGAGATAAGAGAAAAGACAAGTCTAGGAAGGAGATGAGAAGGGCGGGTAAAGGAAGGAGTGGATGTGAAGGGCAGGATAAAGGATGTAAGGAGGCCAGGGTAATGGATAGGACAACCAGGAGAAGTCAAGGAAGATTATTAAGGGAGGACACTGTAAAGGAAGGAAATGGTAAAGGAAATAAGGACAGGTGAAGGTAGGCCAGGAGAAGGACAGGATACAGGAAGGAAAGAGTTGAGTATGGGAGGACAACAAGGGCAGGTCAAGGAAGGATACTAGAGGAAGGAAAGTGTAATGGATAGGTGAACAAGGACAGGTCAAGAACTGAGATAAGTAGTAGGGCGGGTAAAGGAAAGAAAGGTCAAGGATGGGAGTAAATCAATGACAGGTCAAGGAAGAATAGAAGAGGTCAGGTTAAATAAGTAGATAAGAAGAAGGGCGAGTACAGGAAGGAATGGATAAAGGATGTGATGACAACAAGGACAGGTCAAGAAAGGATAGTAGAGGAAGTTCAGGATAAAGGAAGGAAAGAGGAGAACAAAGACGAGATAAGGAAGGACAGGAGAGAAAGAACAGGTAAAGGAAGGGTAGTAAATGAAGGAAAGGATAATGGAAGGGAAGGGTCAAAGATGGGAGTAAAACAAGGACAGGCCAAGGAAGAATTGTAGAGGAAGTTCAGGGTTAAGGAAGGGATGTGTTAAGGATGAGAAGAAAGCAAGGACATGTCAAGGAAGGACATGGTAAAGGAATGAAAACATATGGAGGACAGGGTAAATAATGGGAGAAGAGCAAGAAAGGTGAAGAGAGGAAAGAAGAGCAAGGATATGTAAAGGCAAAGAAGGAGAGAAAGGACGTGAAGAAGAACATTTTAAGAAAGTAAATCTTAATACTAACCAATTAATTCTTCAAATACATGTTACACTTACAAAACAAACCTTTGTAAAATGCATGATCTTTGGTTAAAACAGTCATTCTCTAGTATTCCTAGTATAGACACACTCAAAAAATGTTAATATTCCTGAATATTTCTTTTTGCTTTTATACCAAGGCATACATTATGCTTGAAAGAACGGATTCACAAACAATTTTCCAGGCAGTTGATACACAACATGTTTATAGCAAATGACACTGACCCTGACTTATTAAACCCACAATGGATGTAATTCCTATTAAATACTATAATAGGAAATTCACTAAAAAGGAATTAGTTATAAATGTCGTCTTCTTAAAAGAAGTAGCCTCTTTGGAGGGGCAAAATTTAAAGTTTACTGTGCTATAAATTTTATGTGGCTATCAACTGGCTAGAACTCTCTTCTAAGGTAAGATGGTTGTTTATCCATCTCCTTGTAGCTTAATGTATCACTAATTAGTAAAAGTTATATTATTCAAGACATTACAACCCCTAATCCCACAGTTAATTGGAATGTAAGGGGAAAATCAAGAAAACTGAAACCAGAATATAGCCTACTTCCAAAAATCAAAACGGAGTAGCATTGTTTGTTTATTGTAAGTAGTTGCAACAACCAAAACCCAAAGCCTGAGACTGACATTGCATTTAAGAAACCAAACACCATACTTGGTTGTTTTTGGACAAGCCCAAAATGCTACAAGATCTCAGAGAACTGGGTGCAGCATGCAGCAGGCTCAAGCAAGTGGGAGTGCAAACAAACTGTTTTAAAGGCCAGAACTCTTAATTAGTATGTGTGGCCACGACAATATACTTACTTCACAAACTTCAAGTACAGCATCTGTATCGATTACTGATGAGTCCTGTTCCACAGGGGATGGAAATAGGTAGGCTGGCAATTCCTTTTGGAACCAATCATGTTTCCTGCAAAGAGGTGAGATTACAATAATTTCACTATGGAATATCTTACTTAACCCTAGAGTGGTGTCTTCGGTCTGTGAGTCCCATGGCATATTATTTTAAAGTTCCTGCTCCCCCCCCCCCTCTAGGGTGCAGGACTTGGGTCTCTTGCTACCTTCCTACCTGGACTCAGTCTACCAAGACGCGTAGGCGTAATTTTGAAGTTAGGGGTTCGTCTGCAATTTTTTACATCGGTCCCCTACACTGAAGTCGCCTGAGGCGTGATTGGTCCGACAGATCGAAGACACCTAAAATTAGTAATAGTACTATATTTAATGTAATACTATGTATAGTAAAACTATAATGTAATAATTTATTATAGAATGTAAAATTATATAGTAGTAATAATTTTACTTAGTTTATATTTTGTATTGCCATAGTAGTATAAATAAAATATTTTTTTAAATACGAAAACGGTCTCACAGACTGAAGACACCAAAGGTGTTTAAGCTCTTTCTAGGCCGCAGGTGTAGATGTCTTCATTACTCTATGGGTAAAAGAGACATTATTTGAAGTTTGAGTCAAACATTAAAAATAGACTGAATTATAATGGTTTCTGTTTTTTTTTTTTTTTTTTTTTTTTTTACATTAAATAGTCCATAATATAGTCTCTCATAATATAGGTTCCTAATAAAGTTTTAGCAAATAAAAAAAGTATTTAATAAAGTTTTTCTTTATCAAATTTTGATGAATGCATTAGTTTTTTTCAAAATAAATTACCAACACTCAGGAGTGTTTTATTTCCCAATTGACACAGTTTTATCTTTTATGGTTATAGCTACCCTATATACAAAAATATCACAAAAAATTTTAAACGGTCTCACAGACCAAGGACACCAACCTGTGGTAAAAATCAAGGGTTACACCACTCTAGGGTTAAATGTGTGTCTTACAAGGTTATATTTAGGGGCTATTTTTTATTGTATGGTATTTGAGCAATCTGTATTGAAATGTTTCACCAAAAATGATGTCACACAAGACCTATTCCTTGAGTTTATTTTAATCTTGAGTGGAAGAATCTATTTATATATTTAATGCACAGTTGTAAGTCTGTTTTCTCAGTCATTACTGGACCGATCTACAAGATTTGTGACTCAAATTAAAGAGGATGATACATAGATTTGCCGGACTTCCTTAGAATTTACGTTTTTTTTTTTAGGGCTACGACCTACAGCCCTTCAAAGGTCGAGTCAATACAATCCTTATTGAAGATAATACACTGTTTATAAATTATTCGTCAGCTGTTTAATGTTTGTCAGACATTTGTTATTATTTTTATAACCTCACTTTCAATATTTAATTATTAATCTAGGAGTTCCTGTTTGAAAAGAAAAACATGATGTTGAGCAAGGAAAAGTGTTTTGTTAACTTTTTATACCACAAGGTATTATTTATACATGTATTTGAACATTATGAACATTATTTGTAGCCTATGTTTTGGTGTAAATTTTGTATTTTCAAATAATGTGTTAGTTTTCATTCGAAGTGATCTGAAGGAAAGTGGTAATTGAGTTTAAGTTTCAGTATGGAATGTGAAATAATACCCATAGTAGAGAACGGAAACTTATTGTTTCGATCAATATAATTTATTCTCTATTGCCACCAGAAGAATCGTGGGGAAAACGTAGGGAAATCTTCCCTACGATTCCCTTCCCTACATGTAGACTTGCAAGTTGTAGCCTACAGAAAATTGCTAATGAGTGGGAAACATACAAACATTTTATTATAGGTGATGAATGTTACTCAAGGTCAGTGTTTGACGTTCAGCAGTACCAAACTTTATTTTCTAGAGATGGCGAATACGCAGGATACGTGGAACTCCAATGTAAATTTTGTATTTTTGAAAAATGTATTGCATTTCCTGCGAAATGATCCAAAGGAAAGTGGTAGGTAATTGAGTTTAAGTTAGAGTATGGAATGTGAATTAATACCCATAGTAGGGGACTGAAACTGTTTGTTCCGATCAATATAATTTATTCTCTACAGCCACCAGATCATGGAGAAATTTGCTTGCAAGTTGTACAGATTTACGAAAAGAAATCAGCTAATGAGTGGGTAACATATAAATATTTAATCGTAGGTGATGAATCTTACTCAAGATTACTGTTTGACGTTCAGCAGTATCAAACTTTACCTTTTCGAGATGGTGAGTACTCTGGATATGTAGAACTACAATTTATCAGTGAACTATACCCCAACTATTTTTTTCGAGTAAAGGGAAGTTGCCTGTGACTTACGATTTAGGTTCATGCGAAGAAGTGTGTGATTTGATGTTTAATTGCAATGTTGACTCGGGTTATTACAGCGTTATAAAACTTTATCATAACTCCAGGGGTGTGAAAAGTACAAAAAGAAAAAGAAAAGGTAAAAAGTCGTTAACTATGTGTAAAGAGACAACCAGAACGAAAACAACACGTGGAGAACCATCGAACTAAAAAGTAAATAGCAGTGATGGTGTTAAATGTGCTCTAGAAGTCCTTAAAAAAACTATCGACTCTTTTGAATTGGGGTCATTAAATGTGATTTTTCACTACCGGTACTGCAAATCTATAATTTAGAGAACAGGGACACAAATATATTTTCCTTTTTTTCACAAGAGGAAGGTAAAATTAGCTCCTTATCAACATTCTGAGTTCATGGAGAATCTTATCAACAGGACTACATCGACTATAAAATAATAAAGTATTAAGTACCAAAAGAAACAAAAAAACTTCCAAAAAACTATTTGAATTATATAAGATCATACAATTCTGCATTTGCAATGGCGAGTATATAAGTCTGGGACTCCTTTTACCATCGGATTGGACCGTTAATACTCTCTAACTTTGAACCAAAGTATGCCCAATTTTATTTATACACCATGAACACAGCTGTTACTCACAGAATGGGCCAAAGATCCATGAAATGCGACCAACTGCTGATGCGTGATTTAAGTGACTATCTTTATTCCACAAAACGAATGTAGGAATACATGAACAAAATATCTCTTTAGTATAAGTAGCTTATTAGGTTATCAGCATTGTGCAGTTCGTATGCTATTTATTTAACAAATGAAACTCGAATTAATATAAAACATTCATTTGGTTAAACTAATATATCGGTTTGATTAACATAAATAGTTTATACAGACCATCTATCAGTTCTATTTCATGTAAAAAAATCAAGCAGCCCCTAAATAAAATACAAAGATAAACATTATTTGTTAATTATTATGTCTTTATTGCTGACAATATTCCCATGGCGGAGCACAGGCGGTTAACTAAGTGAAACTAAATTGAGACCAGAAAGATAATAACATAGCTAGAGGAACCTTTGTGCAAAAGTGAACGAAATATAAAAAATTATAAGGATGTTTCACCGCTGCCCAGTTATGTGTCAAATCTGAATCTCAAAAATATATTTTGAATCACAGATCAACTTCTAGAAAGAGATTTGAGAATTACATTTTAAATTTAGTTACACCTGCTATTTGCCCGCTTCGAGCCCAGAACAAACTCAACAATTTAACTGGAAGGGGGGCAGCTGAAGAACATCAAACTTGAGGATTTTAAAAATGTCAGCTCGGAGCTGATTGAAAAACATTATCGTGATGATAAAAAATACGAAAAACTACTTTGGCAGGGCTTGGAGGAAAATCTATTTTTGAAACCAATACTGGTATCTAAAAAGTTTACTTTAATTGGAAAAAACTCTGTCAGTTTTTTTTTAGCAAATTTCCCATATAGGGAATAAGCTATTACCTATGAGGCATAGCGGCACGCTATATTTTTTATAGTGTGTGCATTTCGCGAAGCCGGGCTGCATGTTCAACTCGTTGCCTGCCGCGATTGCATCAACGTCTCTCCCCACTTCCCCACCGACGTCGACTCCTCTCCTCCTCCTTGCTGAACGAACCTACACACTGAAAACGACCAGAAAAACTCCGACCGTCCCTCTCGTCATAAATGGATAAGTTATTTGTAGTTAGTATGTAGGAATATAAGTTCAAATTATGCTTGGCTAAGTCAGGTAACAAGCGGGGAGCCCTTCTGGCTCGCCCGACCATAGAGATGTAGGAATTTACAACTTAGCCGGTTGGTTGCCCTCTGCAACCAACCATTCCAAACCTGAAAACTAAACCTCATGTTCCCAGAATGTAACTTAATGGTTATCAATCAATTCATACATATTTCACATTCAGTATTCAATTTATATATCATTCATTCACTCATCAATATTAGTAAGAAATTATCCATGTTCAGTTCATAGTTGGAAGGATAGGTTCACAGTTAAATAGTTAGTTCAATTAGAGTAAATCAAAGCTGGCTAGGCAAGTGTTCTGATCTGGGTAAAAGGTCTCCGTCCCTCTGGTCCCCAGCAATCTTCCTAATTTTATTGGTAGCTGATTCAGCACGCTTAAATTAAGTTTGGTCCAGACACACCTATTCCTAACCTATTAGCATTACCCTGTTTATTCCCTCCTGATTACCCGAATTTCCTCCTCCATACCATACCATTACCATTAACCCCCATAATCACCCCAACCAATGGCCCCTGGCTACATACCGTAGTACTCATGGTAAGACTTGGACGGGGGACTGATTTTTTTTCGTTTTAGGGTCCCTAGAGGCCAAAAACACCATCCGTTCAAATTCATATATATATGTGTGTGTGTGTGTCCATTAGTACGATAACTCGAGCAAAAATGATCCGATTTTGATGGAATTTGGTATAAATGTGTAAACCTACATTTTTATTCAGACAATACATTTTATTGAGAAAATTCAAACAGGTGTGATAAAAACAAAAATCTCAGATCATTACCCAATTGTAGCAAAGATAGAATTATCGGGAGGAGGAAAAAGAGACACACAGGTAGAAAAAACTAGATTAAATGAGCCGCTTCTGGAACGAAAGCTAAAGGAGGAAAACTGGGATATTAAAAACTACGATGATGTAAACAAAGGTTTTGAAGAGTTAATTCTAAAATTTAAAAAGATTTATCAAGACAGTACAATTACATTTACCACCTCAGGTGGGGGGCACACTGGGCAAAGAAACACTCACAAGAGAAACAAGCGAAAGGAATGGATGGATAAT